AGCCCGTCGGGGGAGCGAGCTCACCAGGCTGCCCCGGGAGCAGACGAGGTGGATCCTGGTGGTGTAGGTGGTGAGCGTCCCGTCGCTGGTGGTGCAGGCCGAGCCGTTGACGTACTCGAGGAGGAGGCTGCCGCTGTCCTCCACGGTGGGGCCCGTCTCGGCCATGCCCAGGTTGCTGATGGAGACCGCCTCCGAGTAGGCACCCTGCGAACGCACGCCCGTCAGGCTCCTCGCCACGGGGTCCGCAGGGCCGGGAACGTGGGGCTGTCCCGGGGGCCGGCAAGACCACACGGCCGGCCCGGGCAGCCGGGCCCTAGGTGACAGCCCCAGGAAGGAGAGGTGCCGGCTCCCCGCCCCGCCTGAGAGAGGAGCTGGCCAGGCGGGGAAGCGAGAAAGACCGGGAAAGGCCAGGGGCGGGGAGACCTGGAGGAGGCTGCCACACCTGCTCCCGGCTGGGACTTGCAGGGGGACTTGGAGACAGAGAAGGACAGGAGAGACCCAAGGGGGCCAATGGCAGCTTTCAGCTTGACTTGTGATTTTTGCCCTTTTCCTCCCAGGCGTGCCTGGCCCTTCTGCCCCTCCTGTGGGTCCCGTGGGTGCCCGCCAGGCAATCCTTAGACACGTGGCAGACCTGGGCCTCAGCGGCCCCACCTGGGCTGGCCCCACTTGGCTGGACGTTTACCCGTGAGTGGATGGGCCCCTCTGCTGCTTCATTCGGAAACTGTCCTCTCCCTCTCTCGTCTCTGCTGCACATCAGTATTGCACACAGATTGCTTTAAAGTTCTTTTCTACTGAAGGTGTGTGCAGTAGGAGTATGTTTATCTCTAGGAAGCCGATGACAGGACCCATTTAGAGTACGTGGGTTTGGGGGCCCCACGGAACCCCTCATTCTGCCCTCTAACACATGAGCCAGGACTGGTCAGGAGCCTGCAGTGCACCCCAGCGGCAGGTCCAGCCACAGCTGGGGGCTGCGGCGCGCACGCCCCGCCCTCGGCAGGAGCTGAGCTGAAGGCAGAGGCCAGCGAGCACCCACAGCCGCCCACGGTCACGGCCATGGCAGCAGTCGCCAACGGGGCTTCAGGACAATGGCAAAATGTCAGCAAGCAGGTGAACCTGAGAAGAGGCGGCCTGAGGGGGCCGACAGGCCCGGCTGCGGCTGCGGCTCCGCAGGCCCTGGCCACCAGAGCGCGCTCTCGGCCGGCGCGAGCTGCAGCCGGGCCTATTTTTACAGCAGCACACACTCATCTTTATTTTAAGATCCTCCGCGCAAGCGGGCACAGGGAACCCCGCCAAGGCTCGGGCAGTGGCTGCCTTCAGGGGGGTGACGGGGCGCAGCCGGCACCCCGGGTGGGAGTGGACGCCCGGGGCCAGTTCGCCACCCCCGCGTCCCCCAGCCGCCCCCTGGGACAGGACTGCCCTTCGCGGAGGCCTCGTGGGCAGGGCTGCTCTGCACCCAGGCGCCAGCCCGAGGCGCCAGCCCGAGGCGCCGCCTCTGCGCCAGCCGTGGCCAAGGGCAGCACACCGGGTGCTATTCTGGGTGCTATCTTTCAAGCTCCCCCGTGCCCCCTTCCTCCCCCTGAAGCTCAGAGCCCTCACGTCACGGGTGTCCACTGGTTCCTGGGAGAATGCCGGCCACAAACTGTGTCCGCTGTGGGTGTCCGGTATCTGCCCGCCCGGCCCTCCCTGCTGCTGAGGGCGGCCCAGCCGCCTTTCTCTGGGGCGGCAGCTCTCTGCGGTGGGCAGAGGCCTCCGATGCCCCGTCCCCGACGGCGCTGGGGCTGCCTCCGTGCCTGAGCTGCGTGCCACGGTGCCACTACAGCAGGCGGCCACGGTGCCCCTGCTGAGTCCCGCCGGGGTGGCCGTGCGGCCACGCACA